GCACATTCATATACTGCTGTTTAGTGCTATTTAATTCTACTTAACAGTGTGCATGGTTTTGCTCAGCTCTTGCACAGTAGACCATTTAGTTCATTGCCACAATGCTCATCATGTCCTGTATAGTGCATTGTCCAGTGTAGCTGTTCTGTATATTTATTGTAATGTGATGCACTGCCTTATTTATTGTATTTGTACATGTCTTACTCTGTCACACATTGGCACTTTAGCCCTTTGTGCCATGCTCCTGTATTGCTGTATGTTGCACATTTTCTTCCACAGTCTACTTGACTTGACTTGATGTACACCAGTGATCACAGCAGCTGGATATATTCATCCAGTGGGAAAATCTTTTTCCCACTAATTTAGCTTCATAAAAATTTATGATGGTTTATTTACAGGAAACTGAGTTTCATTAAATGTGGGGATATTTTATTTTATGGTAATACTTTCTTCTGTGTGAATATTTGAATATATGGGAACATTAAACATAAGGAGAGATCCCTAAGGCACGTAAGGGTGATTCTGCAGTGTGGAATAGTACTAAAGTGAACCAGTCTCCAAGCAATATATTTAATACATAAAAGCAAATAATAATAAGTAATAGGAATAGCATTTACCATTCCCCCATCAGTACTGCTCAGTGAGAAATGTTCTTATCCATTAACCAAATACTATCTGTGTAAGTAATTCATCTGCAGTTGAAAATAAGATAATCAAGGGAACATAACAAACTGAATCTAGGACACAGTGTACTACGCAGTATGGTATAAGGTGATACATAGGTAAAACACTGAAAGGAAAAAAATATGAATAAATCAGCAGGCTGGCTGAGTGGGGATCACTGGGTTTCAAGCTGGGGTCAAATGCAGCAGGGACAAGTGGGATTTTGTGATCTGTTTGACAAAATGCAGAAATGGAGCTTCCTTGTCATCTTTCAAATACTTCCTAGTATTATTGTCACACAATAATAGGACCCAATGACCTATTATTGTGAAAAATAAAGCTTGAAAAGACATAAAGACATTTCTTTATAAGTTTAAGTCATTTTAATTAAATGAGCTTTAGGCAAGGGATTTCACAATAAAATTTAAACAAGTGTTTTTGCTATATTTTTAATATACTGACATGAAACACAATGTCATATTCACACAAGCAGGAAACCTGTCTGTCACTTGTAGTGGGTGTGTAGTGGCCGCTACTGTTGCAAGGTGTGCACTGTACAGGGTTCTGATGACAACAAATGTTAGTAGCTAAAAATCTGTGGCCTAGAGTTAACTAGTTTAACACAAATTATGCACTAATGGGTGTAAAAATTGATTGCTTTATTTAAATGTTACATGTTTGTTCGCTTTGTTAGCAAATGAGCAAAGCAAGCTATCAGTACTAGCTACATACACTCACCGTAGACACCACTGATCTCTGCTACTTTCTACCAAGCTATATTTTTCTTCATAATGTCTCTGTACATATTTAAAAGAGGTTTTATGACAGGATGAGATGAAACCACGGTTATAAATTTTCTTCCATTTTGCGAGTCAGACAGTAATGATGAACTACTTGCTGGTTGTAAGTTGTGAGTGGGGAACTAAAAAAACATCAGACCACATACATCATAAGACTGGTTCAAGAAATCATTCCGATTTGTCACCTAATTTGCATAGACTTGAGAAAATGTCATTTCAAATGTCGCTTTGCCACGGTGTCGCTTTGTCATGCTGTCACTTGCTGCTTGCTGCTGTTGCTGAAATCGCGTCTTCTTGTCATGCACGTTCATGGAAAAGGAATGGTCGCCTGTGACTTTGTCGCTTGCTAGTGTGAACATTGGGTAAGACATGCATCCATCATGGAGCCAAACCATCAGCAATGTTTACTTGTCTGTTTCTGTGTCAGTCAACCTGTCAGCACCTGGCTCTCCAAGGTAAAGCTCAAATTCTCGTCTCATTAAGAATCAGGGATTTGCGGAAAATGTCTTTAAATTAGGTAGACAGTGCGCAAATGCCAACATTGATTTTTTTCTGTGGAAATTCAGAGTAAACAAGGAAGACACACATTGTCGAATCAGAAAATACAGTGCACATAAATATCTTGGAATTAAATTTGCAGAGTATCCTGATGTCATATTAGTTAGCCACCTAATATACTTAAGAGTTTAATGGAATCAGTAAGTAAACCCTTCGTTTTTAAATGTACGGGTTCCTTGTTGTTCTTCTTCTTTGGCTGCTCCTGTTAGGGGTCGCCACAGCAGATCATTGGTCCGCATATTTGATTCGCGCAGTTTTTACACTGGATGCCCTTCCTGATGCAACCCTCTCCAATTGTATCTGGGCTTGGGACCAGCACTGGGAGTGCAACGACTTGCCTGGGCCGCGGCGGTGAGAGCCCCGAGGCCTAACCACTATTCCTCCAGGGACCTGAAACGTACTGGTCCCTTACACTCCATTTATTCAAATGAAATGTGTATGGACCGTCTAGTTCAGATTCCTTGTGGTTGTGATGTCATTAGTGCAAACACATTCATATACAATCATGCATTCGTGTATAACTGTCTATTGAATGTTGGACCTGATAGCAAACTTGCAATCCTGATGTTGTCCATTTAACTGAAATGTTATTGGCTGTTCAGTATTAACACTGATTCGGAGACAGATTTATTTCAGCTCAGCCATACCATTAATTATGTGCTAACTTTCTCTTTGTTAAAGTATTTTCTAAATCTTTATGTTAATTATCTTGACATCCTCATGCACAGCTTAAAATTTTGTTGAAGTACTAATTACGTCGTTTGAGTGACCAGTTTTTTTTTTTTTAAATGTTGCTATTTGACAGATATAAGCTGATGTGCAATTGATTGGGTCGCCTTGTTGTTGCACAATTGTATGTCAATGATTTAGCGCCAGAGAGTTATTATTACAACTAGTGGTCAAAAATGGGAACTGCAACAAGTGCTGAAACAGGCCCATAAGGGCAAGAATCACGTTGCCCCATACTCTCCCTATGAACATTTTCAGTGGAAAAGGAGCAGCAGATAGGACAGGTAATGGCAGTATGTCTGTTTTTTTTTTCTTTTACACCAAATTGGACTAGTTTAAAAATAGTCAGTGCCCATCAAGATGTTCTATTATAGCAAATAATCAGAAATATTTAATTAAATTTTTGCGAAGGCAATGTGTAAGTATCATATTAATACAAAGAATCTGACACATATTAATATACAATATAGACTAAAATAAATATTAAGTTTATAGTTTATACTAACTGAAAATTGAACTTTTGCCATTAGCAGTTAATCATCTCAGGTCAGGCATCATGCACACAGTAATATCTCATTATGCGTCTGCTACTGAGACTTGTACTTAACTTTGCACACACGTATCACAAAGCATCCAGCTTAGCTCACACAGCAGGAGTTTGAAGCAAAAAGGATGAAATTGGTTTTAGCAGAGCAGGAGCCGCAGTACTAAATAATGATTAGTGTGTATGTGCATGCTTCCACGAGTAGCAGTTGGAGTCTCTGTCATAAGGAGGCACTAAGATAAGCAGTGTTTTAATACCTAGACCATCTCTGTCAGCTGGATCACCCGTGTGATACTGCGCCCTGATGTGTTCAGTGAGGCTTAATGTACAGGCCACATTTATGATCTAGAACAGTCCAGTAGGTCCAGAAGGTACAGTACAGAAGGTCCAGTTACAAAAAATTCTTTACTTACAAAGGTCCAGATAAGCAACCAACATTAGTGAATGGTGAAAACAAGTTAACTTTTAATGTGTAACCATTAATCATTAGTTCGTGGCTATAATTAAGACAATTCAAAGAGGTTATGTCTTGCTTTGCACAGATGCTTCACGTTACCACTTTTGACCACAGACTCTGAAATAGAGGACTCTGAAATTAATCCCAATGCCAGTTGATGACCCCTGATTTAGAAGATAAAAAATAAAAGGAATGAATAAAATAAATAAATTAATATAAAGAAATGAAAAGGTGGGTTATGTTATACAGTATCTGGCACTTTCAAATTTATTTTATCATAACTGAATATAGGTAAAAGGTTTGTTAATACTGCAGGGCAGTGATGTGAGACTTAAATAAAAGAGGAAACAGAAGCGGACTTCAAGTGTCACACATGGCTACACACAGTATTAGTCAGTTTGCTACACACATCAGTCAATTGTCTCCATTTTCCCTCTATCCTGTGCCCCAGTATAACTTCTTTTAATTAGCTACTTAGGGCACTAACATAGTTATAACTTCATTCATCTTCATTTATAACTTCATCACAATGTCATTACTATTTATGTTTCACTATCATTATTAACTGTCCTACTATACTAACCTGAAGTAGGTCATGATAGAGAGCCTCAGCCTCTTTCTTACTGTCTTTTTATGCACATATCCATGTTGTCAATCACACCACTGACTTGGCTTTCTGTCATTGTACATTGACTTGGCTCAACAGAAACTTTGTGCTCAGTAGGATATGCCAGCAGGTCTTGTAGAAGTGCCCTGACAGGTGAACTGTTTCTACAGTATACATGATATGTCATTGGGTTGCTGAGATGCAATGAATTTTTTAAAGTGAGGATATTGTTTTATTAAAATGGGCTGTACACATTGTTCAGAGCTGCCACAGAAACTTCTAGAGCTTAAGTCTCGAAAGTAACTCATAGATAAAAATGTGTCTGTATGAAGTGTTGTCATGTTGAAGTGTAGCTGGAGGAGCTTAGTTTTCCTCTTAATCAAGCAATAAATATATACTCTAGCCTATCACAGGCAAAAAGTCTGTATTACTTATAATTTGTAAAGAGTGAAACAATATGACACCCAATCTAAAAAGCTGTAGTAGATAAGCTGTCATAAAAAATGATCAAGGATTGACAACTAGAGTTTTACATTTACATTTACCAGACACCCTTATCCAGGGTGACTTACATTTATCTCATTTATATAACTATGCAGTTGAGGATTAAGGACCTTGCTCAAGGGCCCAGCAGTAGCAGCTTAGCAGTGCTGAGATTTGAACACATGACCTTCTGATCAGTAGGCCAACATCTTAACCACCAAGCTACCACTGCCCCTTTTTTGGCTTTGTTAATGCTGATGATGTTTCAAAGCTTACAGTTTAGCTGGAATAGATATATACCATAATTTAAACAGTTATAATTAGTGGCATTTTTGTAACATTATTTGTTCCTCATTATTTCTAATATTAACCTTTTGACCCACTGAGCAGAATGAAACCTGTTGTTGCAGAGGACGAAGTTGTTAAATGACTGAAATTACTGAACAGTAAACTTGTATGAATAAAAGGAAACTGTGAGAGTTCTATGAACCAGTAAACAGAAGAAGTTTTGCTAACTCTTCCTGTTCCCAGTGCGGTCCCTTTCCCATTAAACCAATTCCTCGTGTCAGCAGTGAAGCCTTGTGTATGGAGGTCAGTCTTTCTTATAGGTTCCCTGTTTAAGGGAATATTGGGATATGTGGTTAAACTATTTTCGTTACAGTTACTTTATAAAAGGGCAGAGCAAGCATTTTGTATCTGCAGTGGGAGTGTGTAAAGAAGACTACCATAATAACAAACATCATTGCCTGGTGGGATTATAAGAACAGCAGTATGCACCGGGCAGGTTACAGCACATGCTTTGCTCTTGGGCATTGCAGTACTCTATACACAGCCTTCTGTGTCTTTCTACTCTGTGTGGTATCATTTTATGTGGTGTATCTCATTTTTCTGTTGTACAATTAGCTCCTATTCTTATTGTCAGAGTGGAGTCTGAGTTCCAGATAATAGCAAAGAAATGAAAGTGCTAATAAATAAATAAATATATATATTTCATGCAATATGTATACACAGTTGAGTGCAAAAGTTTACTGTTAGGACAACCCTGTGTTAGGTTTCACAGATGTTCCCTTATTATCATAACAAAAATTGTGAAATACTTTGTAAATAATTTATGATATCTCTTCAAAGGTTTGCACCCCTCCTTTTTAGTTTGATATAAATATTCTCAAATAACTTGTATGCCAATGCTTTGTCTTTATAACTCCCTCAAACCTCTTTTCTTTCTTCTGAACAGCTTTTGGGTCGGCTCAGTTGAAATCGTACCTGGAGACTTAGAAGGTCCTGGCAAAACCTCTTTTCAGAATATTTTTTTCTGTTGAGTTTGCCTTGTGTTTTGGATTGCTGTCTTGTTGCAGGAAACAGGACGACTCTTAACTTCTTGGAAACTTTTTTTTTTTTTTTACTTAAATTAAATAGAGGAACATTTGACTTTTTTCATCTGTTCATTTAGCAGAAATATTATGTTAATAATATATGAATGTCTAAATTTTTACCAAGAGAAATCAGGGGATGGTGGCATGGTGGCACAGAGCATAGCATTGCTACCTCATAGCTTCAGGGTCCTGGTTTCAGTCATGGGCTTGGGTTCTCCAGGTCCTTCAGTTTCTTCCGACCTCCCAAAACATGCCAGTAACTAGACTGGCTACAGTAATTGCCCTATGAGTAAAATGATCTGCAATGTACTGGCATCCCATTCAGGGTGTGTTCCTACTTCAACCCTGGCCAGGACAGATGAATGCATGTAAAACAGTTGTTGGTTGTTGGTGCCAGATGGGCTGGTTTGAGTATTTCAGAAATTGCTGATCTCCTGGGATTTTCACACACAGTAGTCTTTGGAGTTTACACAGAATGGTGCGAAAAACAAAAAACATTGGGTGAGCGACAGTTCTGTGGGTGAAAATGCCTTGTTGATATGAGAGGACAGAGGAAAATGGCCAGATTGGTTCAAGTTGCCAGGAAGTAACTTATATAATCACTCTTTACAACTGTGGGGAGCAGAAAGGCATATCAGCATGCACAAAACATCGAACCTTGAGGATGTCTTCTGCAGTTGTAGCCCATCCACCTCAAAGTTTGACGTGTTGTGCATTCTGAGATGCTCTTCTGCTCACCACAGTTGTAAAGAGTTCTTATTTGAGTTACTATAGACTTCCTGCCAGCTCAGACCCGTCTGGTCATTCTCCTCTGTTCTCTCTTATCAACAAGGTGTTTCGGCCTGCAGACCCTCCGCACACAGGATGCTTTTTGTTTTTTGCACCATTCTGAGTAAACTCTAGAGACTGTTGCATGTAAAAATCCCAGGAGATCAGCAGTTTCTGAAATACTCAAACCAGCCCATCTGGCACCAACAATCATGCCATGGTTAAAGTCACATGCTGATGTTTGATGTGAACATTGACTGAAGCTACTGACCTGAATCTGCATGATTTTATGCATTGTGCTGCTGCCACGTGATTGGCTAATTAGATAACTGCATAAAAGAGCAGGTGTACAGGTGTTCCTATTAAAGTGGAAAGTTAGTGTATTTATACTTAGGCAGCATGTATAGAGCAGAGCCTGATCCTCTGTGAATGGTCTGCTTTTTCTTAACATCACTCCCTGACCGTACAGCCTGTGCTTATACTAACCACAGGAGACCAGTCAATAAATATAAACTAGTAAAACCCAGCTATGACCTTTTCCACAGACATGATGAAGCATTAGGTGCTAGACATCAGCTGACTGAGACATTCCAGTAGACATGCAATTATCCAAAAGCACTGCTGTACTTCTCATTACTGTCATTTAAGTCCTAGATATTACTTTTTCTCTCTCTTCCTCTTTTGTTCACTCACTCTCTTTCGTTTTTTTCCTTTATCGTACCTAGAGCCTGAGTGGCTCTGAGTCTCAGGTAGTATTAATGTCAGCGTCATGCTGTCAGAGAAGGTAATTCACACAAAATGCATGCCAGCAATCTTTATCTCTATATCCTCTTCTCTTATCCTCTCATTCCCTCTCTGGTTCTGCTTCTGACCTGAGTGCAGCCTCATTAATGTTAGATTTTTTTTAGACATGCTGGCAGGCCTGCTATGTGGATGTGGAAGAGCTCAGATATAGAGCATTAAAGATTGAGTGATAATAGATATTATAAAGAACATATGAATACATATGGTCAGCTGTCTGTAAGGGAGAAAATTTAGAAATCTAGGAAGCTTAGACACATTTAAGCACATTTAACACATTTTAAGCTCTTTTTTTTTTGGTGAAACAGACAAGAAGTATCTAGAAAATGTGTGGATTTGCACCCAGTATTACTAATAAAGACATCAATAACAAAATTAATAATGATCATACCCATAAAAGTAATTCAGTCTGACTCTTCCTTTCTTGTTGTCAACTTTTGTTGTACACTTTTTTTATATGTATTTACAACAACTATTTTACAGGGAAGATGCACTATAGATGTTAGGAGAGCAGTGTAAGAGAGAAGGATAACCAAAATAGGTTTGTTATTCCATTAAAAATTATAACAAAACTAAAAACTAACACCAGCCATGAGAATCAATCTGTCAGCTCCATAAAATATGGCTATACAAAAGTGAGTCATTTTATGTAGGATTTAGCAAATTTATTCAGCTGTAGACGTAAGTTTTTTTTTCATTATGTACATTTTATTAACCAACTCTATCCAGTTTTCTATTGTGAAAGGTTCAAGAAGTAACCAACATCTACACCATTCCTATATACATTCCCTAGCTACAATCGGCAAAAGTGAAGACATTTCGGTACTGAAGATATCTTTTAATACTTTATGTATCTCCTCCCAGAAATGCCTTGTTACTATGGCATTGGCCAGCTTCCTGACGTCCACATAGTCTCCAGCATTTGGCAGCTTCCCCAGTAAAGTGTGCCTTCTATCTTGGGGTAATTAAAAAATACCAAACCAAAACAAAACGGACATTAGTCATCTGCATTGGAAATCAGTGTGTCTTTAGACCACTCCTCATCCGAGATAATGAAATTGCCCCTCTTTTTCCCCTTTTATTTTTAATGTATACATTTCAGCATTTTATTCATATTTCATGAATTTAACTCATAATGCAAGTACACTCAGCACAAATCAGTGCAGTTTCACTGTTTTCCAATAGGGGGCAGTATTGCATGAGATTATCACACTAGTACACTAACAGTAACTACAGAATGATATTATACTTATGTGTAATTGAATGTTTGTATTTTGTATTATTTGTAGGGGTCCTCACTGAGGTGTTGTTGTGTGGACGGCTTTGTAATTAGCTTGCTCTGTCTTTGCAGTCTGGTATTGACTGTAGGACAGGGAGACAGAGCTCAGAGCTGCCTTGTGGTCATAGGGTGACATCCATCAGAGGATGAGGCTCCATTAGAACTGTAATAGATCTTTACGGTTTGTCAGTGCAATCAATGTGTATGAAAAATACTTGGCCAAGCATCTATCCATGCCTGTAAACCACTTGCCAAGTCAACCTATTGATCCAGCATAGACTAAAAAGCTTCATTACAGTAATACTGAAGGGAGATTGGTTGCAAGGTGAAAGATCATGTTACTATTTGGAAAGTGAATTTGATGTGATGGGTTTGCTATCAAATGAACTAAACATCTCAGTGGAGATGCACTCACTGGCCACTTTAATAGAAACACCTGCACCTGTATCAAGCAGTCATGTAGCACCATTGCAATGCATAAACAGGTGAAGAGCTTCTGTTAATGCTCACATCAAACATCAGAAGGGGGAAAAAATGTGATCTCAATGACTTTGGTCAATGCCTCTTGGTGCCAGACCAGCTTGTTTGAGCATTTCAGAATGTGGACAGTTGAAGATTGGAAAAAGACTAGATGACATTTTTCCAATTTTCAGCTGTCCACTTTCAGTGAGCTTGTGCCTGCTGTAGTCCCAGATTCCTGTTCTTGGATGTCTTGGAACCTGATGTGGTCTTCTGCTTTTGTAGCCAATCTGCCCCAAGGTTTGATGTGTTATACTTCCTGAGATGCTTTTCTGCTTACCATGGTTGTAAAGAGTGGTTATTTGAGTTACCGTAGCCTTCCTGTCAGCTTGAACCAGTCTGACCTTTCTCCTGTGAGCATCCAATGCTATGTTATCTAGTTATTGACCTTTTGAACAGCTGAGCAGCATGAGACCTATTACTGCACAGGAGGAAGTTGTCAAATTACTGAAATTATTGAACAGACAACTTTCTGGTACAGAGACTGGTACAG